AATGAAAAGGGCCCACGAGCTCGTCAACTCCTCTATCACACCCGCCATCCTCAAAGACCTGCATCGAATTCACCATTCCCCTCGATTCACGCGACCCGGGCACTCCCGCAACACGAGGCTGCGTACGGATGTCGCGAGTTCACATTAGTCAGCTTGCAGAGAAACGCACCACAGAACCAAAGGACACGACGATGAACCACCGCCGCCAAGAACAGTAATAGCAACAGAGCATAAATAAAGCTATGGAAATGGCAGGCACGATACGGGTACTACTGATCACGAGAAAGAACGATGGCAATGACAACGGCAGTCACGACGAGATACAGATCTATAAGAACCACTGATATACTTCCGTAGTGGAAACCTGCCTTTCCGCCCTTGGCGCCATATCCTGGCGAGCTCAAGCGGGAAGAAGGTGGAAGGGATCAAGCGTAGCTTGCAGAAACCGACTAGGACGATCATAATCTGACGCAGCCGAACTCGTCGAACTCAGCCCTCCAAGTGCTGTCATCTTCAAACCACCGCAGGGTTATGAAGAAATCAGTCATAAGTTGTCATAAGCTTCAACACAGAGAGTGACAACTCCGGCACAACCACTATTTTAGCGAGCTGAAACACACCCCAAGCGAGCCACTTCTTGCCTTTGCTGTCCTTTCCAAACTTTCCCTGCGATGCAAGTTTGGAGGTGCTGGCAGCTGGCTTGCAGTAAGATGTGGAGCTATCGAACAGAGAGAGCCTCAATTAATGGACTGAGCATCAAGATTCGCATACATTATGTTTGCAGTTGCCTAGCTGCTACACCTTAAGGATGTAACCAGAATGCTGTCCTCTCCGCTTCTGATCGTGCAGTTCCAGACGGAAAGAGAGAGAGAGGGAGAGAGAGAGAGAGAGAGAGACAGAAAGAAAGAAAGAAAACCAGAGAGAGAGAGAAAGAGAGAGAGAGAGAGAGAGAGAGAGAGAGAGGGAGAGGGAGAGGGAGGGAGGGAGAGGGGGAGAGAGAGCGAGCGAGCGAGCGAGCGAGCGAGCGACGGGGAGAGAGAGAGAGAGAGAGTGATGCAGGCAAGCTGAAAGCCAGGAGAACAGATGGAAAGACTCAAATTAGCCCATCAGCCAAAATCTAGGCGCTCAAAGTTCCAAGCAAGTCCGTCGACCTTCAGAAGCGAAGGAATTCAACATGATGATGATCACCCACATGCTCTTGACAATCCATGTTAACATCATCTCATGACCAGCGGCATCCTCGTCATCATCTTCCTCACCACCGCCATCATCACCAGCTTCATCAATATCACCACCGATCATTGCCATGTCGCAGCCTTCGCCATCATGCTAACCATCATCATCGTCATCATCATCAACAGGATCCTGTTGACATCATGATCATCAACACACCGCTATCATCATCAGCAGCACTGGCAGCATCGTCTCATCGTTCATCACCATTACCACCAGGCATGTTTACAGTGATTGCTAGTGAATACGTACGCGATGTATGACTGGTTGTGTCGCTCATACTGAACTTCTCGTCGTCGTCGGTGGTGCTAGTTGTAATGGCGGTGCTAGTGGTTCTGCTTGCTGGTGCTAGTGCTCTTGTGATCAACGAAAGCGCCTAGAGAGCCGAGCCCTGCGAATGCTAGCGTCAGCAGGAACATCCAAGAGAGCTGGCCTTTCCACCCTTGCCGTGCCCTCTGTCCCTTTCAAACTTTCCTTTGGCCTGCAGCAAGACAACGGAACGGTCAATGCTCAGGATGCTGCAAGCTGACGCGTTCCTGGATCTTCCCAGGTGCCCGGAAAGATGGGAAGACACGTCCAAGCGCCCTTGCACGAAACAAAAAATCCCGTCTTGCTGGCCTTTCCACCTTTGCCATCGCCCTTCTGATAGCCTCCACTTGCGGGCATGGTTCCATGTCTTGAACCACAAGAGTCAGAGTCAGCCAAGCGAAAACAGCAGGCTAAGCAATCAACAGGGTGGGATTTATTTTAACAGGCAAGCAGCCTGAGTTTGAGTTGCCATCTGTTGCTGTTTGTACAACCTAAGATACCACGCTTCTTTGAGTTTCAATAGCCATTCTGGGCTGCAAAGCTGGCTGGCCTCCGTTGTTGCCGCCAAAGCCACCCCCATAGCCTCCGCTGTGGCCATAGCCACCACCACCACCACCGCCTGAGCTGGAAGCAGAGGGAGGCAAGCCGACCAACCCAAGACCAGCGAACGCCACGCCATGGCGCACTACTCACGATCCACGCCTGGCCCCTTCACCCTATCCCCGGCCCTCCCGTTTGCCCTAGAGTAACATAATAGTACTCTGTTACTATACCCGGATCTCAGAGACGCTGTGAAGCTTGGAAATTCCCTGACAAGGAAACGAGAGAAAGACCTCAGAGCGACCAAGAGCCGGGCTATGGCCGTAGCCCTGATGGCCGTAGCCGCCGCCCTGGTAGGAGCTGCTGTAGCTGCCACCACCACCGCCATATCCGCCGCCGCCGCCACCATAACCTCGGGAACTGGGAACTTTAGGATAACCGTGTTCAATGCAATGGCTATCTACACAGATTGCTGAAAACGGACTGGTAACATGGCACCGAAGCGCGGTGTTCCGCCTAGGGCCTACGGGCTTTATGGCAAGACTCAGACCATCTCAGACCTATAGTTGTATGGCAATGGCTTCATGCTCTGCAAGCGCTGCCTCCGCTCTTTCCACCGTACTGGCCGTGGCCGAAGCCCTGACCTGCAGCCCAGGCTTGCAGATTCTCAGGCTTCAAGCACGGAGAGTCAGGATTGAAGACTTGGAAGTGCTTCAAAAAGGTGCAGACTGCAAGAGGCTGCACAGGCCTTTGCCAGTGCTCCAGGCAGACTCGCGTGGAGCCGGAGCCTGCGGCAGAAAACACTTAACGGGGACACTGCTAGGGTCGGCGAATCGAATTCCTGTTCAGGTCAAACACAACCTGCAATTTGCATCTTTCGGTGTCGCGGAAGCTGGAGTCGCGTCATTTAAGGAAGCTTTCAAGCATTCTGTCTTTTGACCGGTGGCCGTCTGCACCCATGTACTTGCCGCACTGATGCACAACAGCAGATCCATCGAGGGCACAGTCGTGTTCGGCGCAACAGATCCTCTGCCATGTGCGACTGCGGCGCTTGATAGCCAACGCTTGAATCAAGAAAACCATGTGCGGGTGCAGTCAAGAATTCTCGTGGGGCCAGCCACAACAGACAAAAAGCGTCTTGATGTGCTTTGCTGAATCCCGTACCCCAGTCCAGGCCTGCGTGCTCCATGTATTGTCCCAAGCCTTCCAAGGAGCTATAGAGAGGTTATATCTGTCCTGACAAACTACCTTTCGGGGGGAGCGACGTCTGGTTGCGAGAGTCATTCCACTGCTGTCGGTGGCTCTTGAAGTCCTCAGTTGTGCTGGAGAACAGAAGAACACAGACCATGCTACCGTCCCAACCCAATTCAGCCGACATTGCCAAGAAGATAAGAACAAAAAACCGACTTCACAACCGATAGAAAACAACAGCACCACTGAGTTTCTTCAACCTCTCGCCCTCCTCCCTTCGCTGCAGCCTCGCCCTTTCGGGGCTGCTCCCAGCCACGATTACCACCGCCTCCTCACCGGGTCAAGTCTGAGTGACTCGATGCCATCTCGTCACGGCTGAGACTGCAAAGGCAGACTCGAAGCAAGAAGCATCTTCCAGACATACATACATACATACATACATACATACATACGTACACACAGCCAGGCAGGCAGGCAGGCAGACAGAGAGACAGACAGAATATATAAACACACACACACACCTGCGTAGATACATGGATACATCGATGCATAGAGACACAGACACCTACCTATCTACCTACCTATCTACCTACCTACCTACCTACCGACCGACCGACCTACAGAAATGCAGACATACAGACATAAAATGAACAGCAACAAAAAAACAGCATAGTTTGATGGAAGGGGCCAACCGTAGTTCTATGTAGCAGCCTCCTGCCTGAGGGATAGGAAGGGTTGGAGGTAGAAAGAAGCCAGCGGCGAGACGTCGTGACATGGGACCAGACAAGTAGCTACGGCACCCGCCTTTTGCACATGAATCCCTCGAACTCCCCAAACTCTGATTTTCAGGCTGTACGGGGTTCAAGGGTGTAGTCCTGTGTTCATGCCAAGCGCTGCCGTTATCGCGGCGCCGCCACCTTTGCTCCCTGGCAAGGCAGACGGCCATAGAAGCGGAAAGACCCTGGTCAGTACATGGTATGCAACGGGCAGGATACACTGGCTGCTACCCCGAAACCGTTCGGAGGCACCACCGCTGTTCCCCCTAACACTCCCCGAATGATTCCAGACTCACGAACTCAAAACAACATCTTCTTGCCTAGGCTGGATGGCTAAGTCAGTGCAACACATCAACCAGGTTGGTGCTGATAGAACCATAAAGGTAGCATACGGTAAAGGAACGTCCCCCGCAAAACGTGTCGGGCGGGACAGGTGTCTGCCGCAGGGCTGAAGCCCGTGGAGACACCCTTCCTGGCAGCTGGCATGCCTTCTTTAATACGGTTGAACATACTACTGTACTGGTGACTATGAGACTATGACTATGACTATGACTACAACATACTGCAACGCAACCACCACGAGGACGACGGATGATAATGACCATGCTCACAACAATGATGATGAGCAGGGTGATGATGAGGATGACTGGTAGGCAATTCCGAGGCAGTCTTGCAGTAGATTCTTTCATGAACACGGAGATCGTGTTGAAGGTTCTTTTTATTCCGCCTCAGCCTTTGGAAGTTCTTACCAGCGAGCAAGGTGCCGAGACTTTTGCTCTGCATTGCGGTTACCTAGCAACCCTTCTCCTACTCCTCGGATCTGTACATGCTCAGACACAGGCTGCGCGCGCTCGCAGCTCTCATGGCCGCCATTGCAGCCACACAAACTAGGACTAACTTTGTACATTAACTTTAGGAGCTGTTTCAATCTAACGACTCCCGAAGAGCCGCTGCTTCAGTTGAGGATTCTTGCTGACGATTTGGCCATCAGCCGTCTCCGGGAGAGCCTGGTCAGACTCTTCGATGATGGCTTCTGCCACATCGATTGAGCCCGAAGCACCGGGAAAGAAATATTCCTGATGCTTCTGCGTGCTTGGAGCCAGTCCATGGCCCATGGTGGCACCCAAAGGTGGCTGGGCAGCGCAGCCGGGAAAGCGGGATCCGGCGTTGATGTGGAGACGCTCCCGAGTTCCCAGAGAAAATCCCAAGGCGTCCCGCTTCGTCTGCACACGCCGAGTAGATGGTGGCGCCGGCTGCAGCGGCCGGGCGGCATCCAAACTTGGGCCTTTGACCAAATCGGAACCCACTTCCGACCGCACCACTTTCGACTCGCCAGTCGCAGCTTGGCCACGCTTGCTGCTCGCCTCTACGGGCTGCGACGGTGCCTCGTCGACCGTGGGAAGGGCAGCTACTCCCCCGGCGCTGCCCTTCAGAGCTTGAGGTTTCGGTGCAACCTTGGCTGCGCCTTCTTGACGCGGCGGTGCTGCTCCTCCTTTAGATATTTCCTCGTACTCTTTCCGGGACATTGTCTTAGGCTTACTGCTTTTGATCTTCTCCCCTTTCTTCGTTCGATGCCTCTCTTCCAGTTCGACACCAGGAGACATCACCATCACCTCCATCATGGGAGGTTGCTGCGACTGAAACTTCCTGAAGCCATCCTGGAATTCGACAGAGTTGTCCTGCTTGCTTTTAGCATTCTTGTCCCGTGCTCGGCCACCCCTCTTCTCTGGCTGTGCTTTCTGATCTTGTCGAGAAACTTCATCCTGCTTGCATACGAATGAGGGGGCCGGGTTCGGGTTGGGCAATCTGTGGACTTGTGGCGGCTGCACCCAAATCACATTGCCCTCAGAATCATGTGTGAACTGCTTCTTGTCATCCTTCATTTGGGCGAGCTTGATAGCTTCTTCTATCTCTGCCGCCTTCCTCTCTGTGCGAACTTGCTCGTCTCGCAGCTTCCTGGCTTCTCGCTCCTTCATGTCTCGGAGCATGGCTTCCTCCTCGTCTTCTTCGCGATCGTCCACCAGTGGGATGAGCTGGCTTCTTACTGTCGGGGTCTTTGGCGTCTCTACCTCCTCTGCAAGAGACTGCGGGCCAAATCTGGATGTAGGCCTGCTTCCAGGACCAGAGACAGATCCAATCGACGCACGCGATCCCATCCGCCAGACGGACCCCCGGCCTTTTCTTGACTCCTCAGCTTTCCGGCCAACTTTCCGAATTGGCACACAAGCACGCGCCCAGGTGTCAATTCGACATCTGGCCGGCTCAGTCTCCAAAGACCATCCGTCTCCCCTGCTAGCATCGTTGTCATCTAATCCACTTGTCCATGAAGCGGGCGCTGATGTGGGTCTCGGAGCCACCTCCAGAGTGCCTCGCGACCTGGGCATGCCCTCGGTGCTCTTCGGTCTCAAGCTCTCTTGGGCTGCAGACGGTGTGGAAGGATCTGCCCCGGCTGATTGCAACTCGCCTGTATCATGTCGGACGAATCGCAGTTGCATTTCACCCTTGAGAATCTCGCACAAGGCATCCGCGGCAAACCCGAAGGACTTCCGATGAATGTAGCTTTGGTACAGCAGGATCCCTCCTTCTTGCAAGATCTGCTCCATCACGGCTTCTACCGCATTCTCCGCATCAGAAAATGGATCTAGCACGCCACCCCCTTCGGCATCATCCGTGGTCCCCGCCGCGTCCATCTGTTTCCCGAAGCGCTGGAGCAGATTGAGCCCGATCTTGAGGATTTGCTCTCTCCAGAGGGCGATCAAGTTAAGCCCTTCAGGTCTGAAGCAAACCGTGCCGTCAACCTCCCCTTTTTAGCAACTCAAGAACTCCATAGACACCCCTGACGTCATGCGCATCTAGGGAACCTGCAGAGTTGCTTTGAAGTTCTAAGGTTGTCTAGTCTGGCTGGTCCGGCCGATGCACACATCTGGACCCCACAGGCGGCGCACCCATACGTGGCTTTTCCCGACATGGCAGGGCCTCCTCAGGTCAGGCAGATCCGTGGCAACAAACATCGGCATTGATTGCTTCCTTGCTTGCGTGCTACATAGATTCATGCACGTACTCATTTACTCACCTATGCTTATAATGGGGCATACAAAGATCCAACCGGCAGATACTCCGGACTTCGCCTCCGAACGGGATCTCTCCCTTGCCGCCCTTGCCGTCTTTCCCTGCGCGCAGACTGCAACATACACGCCCAAGCGAGAATTGTAGGGGGAGAAGCAGATCTGGTTCAAGCATGGGCGACTGTGTCGAAGATGTCACATGCTGCTGGGCATTGGGTTGTTTCGGGATGCGTGGCGTCCACTACTCTGTCAACATGCTTCTGGCATGGACCCCGATTTGCCTGATGGTCTTTGGTTAATGGACACGATCGCCGGATCAGTGGCCTTAGCGACATACGATCAAGGCTTCGCAGTTGCTTCACATTTCGATGGGGTGGTCAACACCAGCGGGAACTTCGACATCACTCCTAGACACATCACGATTTTGCTGCAAAGCCGCAGCACCCGGCTGCTTCCCGGATTCCAGCACTGTCAAGTCCTTGATGTCTTGACCCCGAAAGATGATGAAGTCGTACACCTGTCCAAGACCACTTTGCGAAGTCCAGGGACTGACCTGTCTTCCGCTACAGTATGTCAGTGTATGCGCCAGTGGCTCAGCTGCTAAAAGGAAGGCGGCAGATGCATGAACTATGTTAATGACAATGGCTTTCTCGCTGTAAGATTCCTTTGGAACATGACGTCCCATCACTGGGACATGCTTCGCTTTCTAGTTCGTTGTGTCGCCTCCGAACGTGTATATAGCTGCGCAGTATCTGTACCATTTGCCACTGCAACCAATGCAACGCAACTGTATGAGTATCTTCCAAATTTGTGAGACAGCATTGGCGTGGAATTTCCCTCAGAACAGCCTCGCTGGAGGGAGGAATCTCCGGCAACTTCCTGATTCAAGCAGGTGCTGGTGTGACTTGTCAGGCATCGACCGCAGGTCATGTTGTACCGAGCCGAGTTACGGCCTTTCGCAAGCGGCACATAGCAAACGGAGGGCAGACTTGCTAACTTGCCGACAGGCCCGCTTTCTGCACTACGCATCGAGAATCGGGACATGCGACGCCAGTCGAACTCTGGACTCCAGCACGCAGCCTTATCCTCCGTATGACTCCGCATCCTCACTCCTCAGCCCTCCAATCCCCCCCAAACCCTAAACCCTGAACCCTAAACCCCTAAACCCTAAACCCCTATAAACCCCTATAAACCCTAAGCCCCTAAAAGGCCCTAAACCTCTCGACCCCTGAACCCGAAATCCGGTATCCCCATGCCGGCCTACCCTCGGTGCCGAAGCATCTGACGGACTGCAGTGCTATGGTGGACTCCTGCAATCATGGAGACATTTGAAGAAGAGGGTGTACAGTAGACTGCCAGAAGAAGTTTCAAGCAGATATCACTTGTAGACTGTAGAATCACAGATATGATTCCGGGCAATGGTTTCGAATGCACTGCGACGCTCTCTCTCTCTCTTCTAATTTTTGGTCCTCAATTTGACTTTGTCAGGCCACGGGCCTTCAGCGCTTCACAGGACTGCGGAAAGGGAACTCGAATTTTCGAGAAGCCCAAGTCGCTCTATATCTGAGCATTTCAGTCAGAATCAGCCACGGATTTTGACAACAAGGCCACGTGTGGAGCTGTCAGCACGGCCAGCTTGAGGTAGGATGTCGCCCAGTTCGTGACTGACCTTGGTAGCAGTGTTCGACGTGGCATCCTGGTCCCTGAGCGAACTCCTGCTGAAGCCGTTGGCATTGGGGGACAATGGTCATGCTGTTCGGCGATACTGGAGTTTAACCCAAAACAAGGTAATTGCCGACGTAATTGCAGCTCTAGCAAAACATGAGCTCTGGAGACCTGCCTGGAGTTTGGGTCCCTGTGGAGGTTTTCCAAACATGGTTCAGCCCGTCCTTAAACACCTAGCTCTCTGCTTTAACTGCCTTTGCGTTTCAAGGGGCTCGTTGTACTCCTGCTCTGAGCCGGGATTGAACGTGTCGAAGCATGCCTTACGTCGGTAGGCAGCATGCGCGTGAGGCTGACTAAGTGGGGCCGTCAACGTCTCAATGTTGAAAATGCCCTCGGCCATTCTGGACAAGAGTCCTGGGACTCGGATGATTCAAGTAACCTCAGCTGCGCAACAAACCTCTGGGTCTCACGGACTTCGGTGAGAAGAGCCCAGCAGAGCACAGCATAAGATTGCTTCCTCCCATCAAACACCCTCAACCTTGAAGCCCCTGAAGCCTGAAACTATCTAAAGCCCTAAAACCCTAAGACCGAAGGCGCAGGGCAGTCTGCCAGGTGGCTGGCTCTGGCTCTGCCCAGCAAAGTCTGAGAAGTGGCCGGAATAGAGCTCCAACAGAGACATGCCTGCCTGACCTCGGAGACAGCTCTTCGGGGGCCGGCCGCAACAAGATAATGATCATCACCACAACCACCTAAACCCTAAAACCTAAACCCATCATTATCATCAGCAGCAGCAGCTCTTTGCTCTGCTCAAATCCCGTGCCTGGCCTTGTAGCAGTGACGGCGACTCTTTCAGCTTCTCCTCAGCTGGGCCGCGGACAAGGACGCTTCTTCTCGCTTTGGGAAGAGCTCTGGCTTTCGGCCAGCTCGAAAGCAGACAGCACTGAATCACTCTATGTCCAGCGTCCATGACATGGTGCCGAAGCTTCACTCGCTAATCGACCCCGAGTCTCCAAAACAAGCAAACTCACAGCCAGCAGAGAAGTTCTTTCATCTCGAGCTCAGTAAAGATTTCGTAACTCGCTTATGTCCCGGCCAAGCTTCCTGCCACCGGGATTTCAGAGCCTGATCTGTCTGTACCGCGCCCACAGGGCGACTACTCAAGTAGCATGCTAGCTCCGAACTACTTGACAACATTGCACACTGTCCAAAATACAAGACACCGCACCGGAACGCTAAAGTGATTCACGTCCTAGCTAGTCTGGAGATTCAGAATTCAGCAGGGGGAAGCCTGAGATGTGCACGGCTCTGCTACAACCTCCAGGGATGCTGATAGGTGGGGGAAGGTACCAGGTCAATGGACCGGGCCCCCTGTCTGTAGATCCGGATAAACGGTGCCCAGCTGCCTGGTATTCTACAGGGCGAGCGTAGATCTCCCAGGCGAAGGAGAAGGGTGCCTGCCCCGGGAGACAAGGATGACTTCAGTGCGCCCTCGGGTTGGAACCAGGCACACCATCAGAGACTCCACAGCACTGGCTCCCAGCAGGAATTGTGCAGAAGTACGAGGAAATAAATACACCTAATACGTGATCCGGACCGGTCTGGAATCCGAGCTTATGGCTTGCCGAATCGGAGGATTCCGGCTGGCCGCCTTCAAGTTGTCGTACACCCAGTCAAAGCTCGTTCCCGGACAGTTGTATCCTTGGCGTGGGGGTAATTCTTTTTTTTTGTCGCGGGTAATTCTGCTGTCCAGGGTTTGGGGCTCGGTTGCTGGAAGAAGCTGTGAAATCAGATGCGCGATTGCAAGTAGCACTCTTCACCGGTCCCAGGAGCCCACTTCTTTGCCAGCTGCGCCGAAGGGGCACTGGCAGTAGTCTTCGTCCACTTCCTCCAGGAATCTTAGGTTCGGTGAATAGAAAGCGGTCGGGTCCGCGGCGACCTCCACTTTCCACCCCTGCTCAAACAACCTGGCCGTACATAAAAGCGCGTCACCAGAGATCGCGTCCGGTCGTGGTAAGGGCCTACTCTGATGAACGAACATCCTCTGGTGTGTCAAGGCCCTTCCTCAGCAAGCATTAGTGGCATCAGCCCGTCCTTCAGCACAGACAGCATCAAGTCGCGGTTGCGGTGCGCCATGTGCACGCTGTCGTAAGCCCACGGCATGTACAGACCTAACCTGGATCTCGTTTGGGACTTGCGGTTTGGCGTCACCGGGGGCAGGGGACACTGGTATTGTTGGACTTACAGGGGCGAGGACCCTGGGTTGACGTATGAGCGAGGAGAAGCAGGCTCATTGGAACTGAGTACTTCCTACGTGGAGGCCTGATAACTTCATAACGACGGCATGCTACAGTCAGTATCCCAGTGTCCATATGCTGTAGCACTGTAGCATAAGAGGGAAAATTGCCTCAGTCTAGTCTCAAGTGTCTTTCTTGTTAGTGTCGTGCTCGGCGTTGCTCACGGATCTCATAGACCTGCAATAGCTAAGGTGCTTGCAACCAATGAAAGCTGCCAAGCAGCGTGCCACTGTGTACAGACAGGAAGGTGGTGGGCTTGAACTCTGTAACGAGATCTCTCACCATCTGGGTCTCCACTTCGCTGAAGGGCTTCTCTCCATGATACTGATCTCCGTCCATGGCCTGGTCTCCGAGCTCCCACTTCTCATCCCAGTTTCGATTCAGGTCGACACCCCGTGGGTTGTCCCGAAGACAATAGTCCCCCTGCTCGACCCGTGCCCGCGAGATCGGATTGGCATTGAGAATCAGCTGGAAGTCGCTTGTGTCCAGGGCCTTCCTCACCAGATCTGACTTGGAGCTGGGCCCGCAGAGCATCTTCAGTAACATCAAGCCGCTTTCGGGGCTAATGAGCTCACGGCTATGTTCCCCGAAGAGAAAGGCTACCCGATTCGGTCGGGAAGAGCTCGGGCCGGGCCCCGAAACACGAACATAATCTAATGACACATTCCCCCTCGTCACTGTCTTGACAGTTGCCTTGGCAGAACAGCCCGCGACGAGCTCCCTTGCTTCCTCTTGGATCTGGTCGGAGGTGTGGTAGAAGGGAAAGTCTAACAGGAGCTTGCTGCGGGTGTCTATTCTGGAAGAGTGCCGCAAATTCACAGAGTCCGCAACCAGTGCGCAGAGCGGCAGGCAGAAGAGCGCTGTTTTGCGCATCATGGCTTCGAAGAGCTTCTCAGATTCGAAGCTCTTCAAGGGATATCACTACCAGATTCATAAAGCCGTAGAGCCACTACGGCCTCGGTTTGTGACAGTTTCTGCACCAGACCGAACACTTCAATATGTAAACTGGACTCCTGAATCCAAGGAACCATTCATCCTAAGTCACTGCTTTCGTGGCCCCATTGCAACGAGACTTCATGTTAATGCTGCATTGATGCCCTACTAGCAAAGATCATATTCTCATCCTGCTAAAGTACTGCTTCTGCTAACGTTACTTCGAGCTGTTGTTTGTGCGCGGTTCATGCTGCCGCGACTACTCTGCTGTTCGTCCTACTCCCATTGGTGTTAGCATGCCTTTACCTCTGTTTAACAGCAGCAGAAAAAGCATGCTAAACATGTGTGTCCCTAACATCCTTTCGTCTTAATCTCACCATTTGCGTCACAAAGTGACGCGAGAAGACTGATGTCCATAACAAGCATGACCCTCATCGCCGTAATGGACAGTCAAGACATCAGAATATCCAGAAGCTTCACAAAGTACAGGGGAAACTCAGTTTCTAGGCCCGCTCCACTTAATGCCACTTCCCTCCCTATAGCTTTCCTGGGTATTGATGGTGTAGAGGATGCCCTCGTATCGCAGCTCCGAGTTGGACACCAGGCCTGGAGGAAACTACAAGGGCCTCCCCAAGGCGGGCGACATGCATGACTGTCCTTAAGCCTGGAGACTCGAACCGCTACTGTGGCTCTGCTTACGACGACACGACCGTCTTGGCGCAGCAGTGGTACAGTGGTAGAAGTAGCAGCAAGACCGGCAGCAGCAGTACCAGTAGTAGTAGTAGTAGTAGTAGTAGCAGCAGTAGTAGCAGCAGTAGTAGTAGTAGGAGGAGTAGGAGTAGCAGCTGCAGCTGCAGCTGCAGCTGTGGCTGTGGCTGTAGCTGTAGCTGTTGCTGTTGCTGTTGTTGTTGTTGCTGGTGTTGCTGGTGTTGCTGTTGTAGCAGTCGCCTTCTTCGTCGTCGTCGTCATCGTCGTCGTGGTAGTGGTAGCGGTAGAGGTACAGGTGATGTAGAGGTGAGGTAGAGGTAGAGGTAGAGGTAGAGGTAGAGGTAGAGGTAGAGGTAGAGGTAGAGGTAGAGGTAGAGGTAGAGGTAGAGGTAGAGGTAGAGGTAGAGGTAGAGGTAGAGGTGATCATCATTATCACCAAAGCTAGCAGAAAACGATGCTAGCAATAACACTGACAATAGTACTAGCCATAGTTCTAAGCATAACAAGAATAACAGCTTTCTATAGTGCATTCTTACGATCTGCAGGTAGTGCAAGCAGCGTCCCCGACGTGGATCCTCCTCACAACAATCCGCTGGACGGCGCTCAGTCCCGCGCTGATTTTGCGGCCGATGTACGGCACCGCGTTTTGAGACATGCTGCGGCGGCCCTTGCAGGAAGGGGACTGCAATATGATACGCAAAGGTTTGCATCCACAAGTGCTGGACTCGACTGACCTGGGACTTGCTAATTGGTCTGATGTTGATGGACCGACCGGGCGTGGTGAGAGCCGCGCCTCTCTCGTCTCGCCTTCTGTATCTGCGCTTTGAGGCCAAGAATGGCTGCGGAGTACTGCCGTGCGGCCATTTGCACGGAAACGACAAGCAGAGCAACTTATTATGCTACTCATCACTTTGCCTGCGTTGCCGATGTCGAGAATTCGACACCCAACAGTGAAATAACAAGGAGAAATATCAAATCAAATCCAGGCCCAATTAGACCGGACCGTGCCTGCGGCACGGCTGTACTAAATCCCTCGAACCCTCCCGTGTCCTCCAGCCTGATCTTGGGTGGCCTGCGAAGAGTGACAGGCGCACATCCTTCAAGCCCCTGCACAGCAGAGCCTGAGGCAAGCGATGGCGTTCACCAAAGAGGGGCCATCCAGAGGCATGGCACCCTCCTGCCATCGATACAAGAGCATGCCGGTGTGTCTGCGTCTGGGCTTGGTTCCTAATTACTAATTCTTGTTGTGGAAGAGCAAGGCAACGGGCCTTGGCAAGCTCCTGCTGCACCTGCCAGGTGGGGCGACTTGCAAGCTGGAGGACGCAGCTGGACTTTCAGGCTGAAGATCGACAGGAGGCTTTAGGATCAAGTAAGCCATCTCGGCGCAGTGCAATGCAGCATGTCATTGTCGCCTGGGAAAGCCACGGGGCAGCGTCCACGCTGTCTCCTGACACGGACTTGGCGATCCATCTGAGGAAGGTCGCGAAGCAAGAACACGGCATGAACGTGCAACGAAAACTTGCCCCAGCAGGGAGCTCTACTGCCTACCTCCAGTCTCGAACGCGACGTGGTGAAAGCCTGGCGACATGGTCTAAATATCTCCAATTGCTAACTAAGATAGCTTGGCGTGGGAGATGGGCTCGCACTCGGTCTCTGAATTGCATTGCGGGCAGGGTAGCATCTGCGCGCGTGCCTTCTTTACTTGCCCTACTGTAGGATATCATATAAGCTCTCGTCCACATAGCCTAGCTCCTCATGGCGGAACATGACTGCACTTCGGACAGAAGCCCTGCTCCCCCTTGTTTTGAGCCCGCTGCATACCGCACAACACCCGAAAGAAATGAGCACGGTTGAGTAGCTGATGGGCGACGCAATTTGCCCGGCTGCCCCAGGCAGAAGCCGCACACTCGTGCTTGCGCTACTTCGATGTCTGTCAGGCGTGCTTCGCCGAGGGGCGATGGCGGACAATTCTGAGAAACCTCCCCATTCGGGGAGTCTGGGTATTTCGATGGGTGGCCGCACTTTGAGACCACACCAGCCAGTAAGCAGACTCGAGAGCAGCTCTAGCGTGAAGAGGTTGTATTGTGTGGAAGGCGGACGTGCTCGAAGATACAGACAGGTCGCACTTTTTTCATGCGACAATAATAGCAATCGCCCTAGACGTCTGCAGAGGATACATGCACAAGGCAACGTTGCAAGACAGCGAAAGAAGCTGCACCCTCTTCGAGCTACGATGCTAGTCGACAGGCGCCTTGCAAGTGAATTGGGCTTGCATGGGGCTTCACAGGAGGTTCTGCTTGTGGTTCTCGGATTTGAGGAACGAGGCCCGCAAGCAAGCCGAGTGTGGAGTCAACCCTAAGCCTAAGACGTGCTTTGGGATTGACATCCTCCCTACTTCATGAAGCCGAAAACTGCCCGGCAAAGAGCAGACCAGTGCCCTCGCTGCTGGAAGAGTCGTCAACCTTTCGGAGCGATGGCTGCAACGGATCAAGATGGGCTGACACCTAGGACCTAGCCACTGCAGCGGGCATGAATCCCAAGCTTCACGAAATTCTGCTGTTCGCATGGGTTCGAGTGTGCCGAGGGGCCGAGCCAGGGGTTTCATTCGCATGTCTTCTGGCATCCTAGCGGCAGTTCAGTTTGGAAGCCCAGCTATGCTTCTCTCCTGGCTGCCATCGTGGGCTACTTCTGCACATCCATATGGGATCAGCCTGCGATCCAGGTGTTAACGCAACTTGGGACCACTTTCCCCGGCCTGAACATGTGGAGCCGGCTTGAATCGACGAGCCTGTTGCAGAAGGCGCGAGCGCTTCGGAGTGGCTAGATCACCCACTCGTTGAACAAGAATCCGAACTCAGGCAACCCGAAGCCCATGTCGGCCATGTGGCACAGGAAGACAGGGCTCTTGGCGGCAAGACCAACAACCCCCAAAAAAAGCGTCTGCTTCCTCGCTACCACGGGAAGAGATCGGCAGTTTCCCTGGCCGCGCCTGTGCCACCACTGAGCAAGCTGCCAGCAGCAGAAGCGCACAGGCCTTGAGATGGCTCTTGGGAGCTTTCTTCTGCAGGCAGCAGCTCTCAAAAATCCCGTCGATGCCATCTTCGACCCCTGAAATCCCCTGAAATTGATCTGGGCTGGCAGCAGCAGTAGGAATTGCTGTCCAGAGCCATGCGACCTGGTCGATTGAACCGTCATACAGTATGAATTTACTCTACTCTACACTGTTACACTACTCTCCTCTGCTCTCCTCGGTGTGACTATGTTATACAATGAGATTGAAAGACTAGACTCTACTATCATACTATCCCACACTCTACTATACTAGACAGACTAGACTAGACTGGACTATAGACTAAGCTGTACCTTGTTACTCAACTGTTGGCCCTGCGATGGCGGAGTGTCCCCAGCAAGTCAGCTCCTGGCCTTCGCATCGGACACTTCGTGATTGAAGCGTTTGAGGAAGACCATGGGCTTTTCCTTGCAATGTCTCATCTCCCTCACTCAGAGTGCCTTCACTTGGGAACCACTAGGAGTAGTAGACGCCCTTCTGCTCATGCAGTCTGCTGCTTCCGCAGGTTCAAGGGATCCAGTCGGCGGTTCAACAGCAGAATCGCTGAGTTATCGACTGTTGTCTTTGCACTGATACAGGTATTCTATGAGTCTCAGAATCGCCGCAGGTTCGAAAACTCTCGACACCACACACGGTTCCCAGCACTCGCTCTTGCCATCTTGAGCATCCCACTGCTTTCATCTCTGTGTCCAGAGTCTGGCCTGGCTGCTACAGCGAGAGCACCGCAAAGGCATCCAAAGGCCAGACCCAAGGCCTACTTGAGCCTTTTAGCTTCGAAATGCTTGCTCCAAGCGGTGCGTTGATCATGAGCTCCTTGGAGCTTCCTTGGCCGATATGGGCCCTGTCACAAGTCGGCTCTTCTTCGAAACCCTGCAGAGCTCCCTCCCTCCGGGCCTGTGCAGTCATGGACCTTCGCTTTCTGACAGTGCGTGGTGCCCAGGAAAGCGGAGGGGCATGTCCTGAAACAGCGAGGCTCGTGGCTCCGGCTCCGGCTCTTAGTAGCTGCTCTGCAAAGCCACAAAAAGCAGCAGCCATAAGTTTAAAAAGCTCCACCTGAATCAGAAGGAGAAGCTATAAGAAGATTGGTACACTCAACGGCAGCAGCATGCCGATATGCCGATAGGCTCTAGCCAAGCTCTTCCGAGCCCCCATTCCTGAGAAGCAA